CGAGCAGACAAAGGACAAAGCAGCAAAGCATGCGTGCTCTACTCCTGGTGGGTTGGCATGGTGACCGTGACCCAGTGCTTCGTCCAGGGCCCTTCTGATAGCCTGTCTCTTATACACATCTAGATGTGTATAAGAGACAGGTGGAGAGATGATGGGGTTGTAGTTGGGAGAGGGAAGGGGGAGGGAAGGGGGGGGGAGAGACAAAATTAGGGGGATGCGGATACGGGATTGATGATAAGGGGTTAGTGGACCTATTTGCAGGAGGAGAGTGTTGCAGGGTGAAAGTGGTAGGGAGGGATAAAGGGAAAAAAGAAGAGGGTGACTATGAGTAGGGGGGAGAAGTATAGGAGGCAGGATTAGTAGAGATGGGGGGGTATAAACAGGATAAATAGCTGCGGAACACATAGGTAGCGTGGGTTGGGAAAGAAGTACAGGAGAGGCTTTAAAGTTTAAACTGAGTATGTTGATGGAAGGAGACGAGTGGGAGGCCCGGTGAGTCGAAGGCTTGGGCTGTGCCCTGAGCCGACCCCTCCGGGAGGTGCATAGCGTATGGCAGGGTACCGAGCAGAGGTTTCCCGCCCGCTATGCACCCCCCAGGTGGGAATATTGGTGGAAGGTACAGTGCTGCCCCGCAGCCCCCCCCCCTGCACCGCATCCAGGACAACAGGGGTACGAGGCTGTATCCATTCTTTCCCCCTACTCGCTCTCTCTCTTGTGGAACATGCTTGCCGGTGATAAGTAACCGGACTGCTGCCCCCCAAAATAGATGGGGCTGTCTATTCTTCAAAAAAAAAAAAAAAAAAAAAAAAAAAAAAAACTAAGATTGGTCGAGAAAGCTTCAGAAAAGGATAAGAGTTTAAGAAAGGTTCGAACGGTAAACAGAAATCTGAATAAAAATTATAAATTCAATAAAGAGTGCAACGGGGAAATATGCACAGTCGCACAAGGAGAAAAAATAGCATGCCGAGGGAGTACCCACCTTATATTCAGCAGACACTGGGACGCCAACAGCCAAACGGTCCACCGCAGAAGTTGGATGGAAGTTGAACACGAAGACGACGTCGCCCCTCTGGAACACTACCACCTGCATAACATAATCATAATCATAGATAGAATAAGAAGTATTAAGAACTGTTGCTTTCTCTGTTCTCCTTTCCTTTGTTTCCTTCACCTTCTCCTTCCCCTTCCTTCTTCAGTCCTTTCCCCCTTGCCACTTCCCCTTTTCCCTTCCCCCTTCCCCCTTCCCCCTTCCTATTTTCCCTTTCCCCCCCTTCCCCTTTCTCCTTCCCC